TCATTTCCAAAGTATACTTAATGCATTTTTTACTAACTACTATGCTCGACCCTCGTCCATGAACAACGAAATGTCTACCAAATGCATTTCGCAACCTAATTCGAAACGGGAAAAATCTCATTCGTAGTATAGCATAAGCGACAGTGGGACGCGAGAAATGTCGTCCGTGGCGAAGGGGTTAATTTATTTGTGGCACAACCTACACAAAAAGTAACAATCCGATTCGGTCAATCTTCACGGTCATAATATTTTTAACAAATAATTCAAAGTCATTTCCTCCCTATGGAATCTTGAATCTCCAACCTATCCGTATAAATTACCATTAAATCTCTAATTAAAAGAATAGACCTTTTATCTCATGAAAATCAAAAATGTTTCCTTTCAACCCCGATCTCCCCTGCCATAAAACATTACACCAGCCCAATCCACGTAATTCGAAACTCAGATGAAATCATTACACTAAAATGACTCGTGCAGCGTGATACATAATAGACCTGTTCTGATACACGAGAAACAACAGCTAAGAAACCAATCCCGCGTGGGATGAAGTCCTCCAACCTGGACACGATCAAAACGTCCGTAACACGCTACGGACGTAAGTCCGAAGATGGTCAGCTGCGCGAGAAATCCCGTCTGCAAATTTTCTTTCCCCGTTAGCTTTTTGCCCCGTCACGATGATCCCCGTGACCGTCTATTCCCGGCTGCAGCCTCCCATGAACTCACGGCCGAGGTAGAATAAAAACGGACCCCAAGGCCCGTTCGGCTGCGATAAACGCGCGATTCGACGTTCAATTTCGACTGGCACCAGGGACACTTTCTCGCTCCTGGTTCCACTCTCGTTTTTTTTTCACTTATCCTCTCGGCCCGAACGGGACGACCGGGATTCAATCTTGGCCGTCGTCCCGTCAATTCCGTCAAAATCGTCGCCCATGCGCTATTCCATGGACCGACCCTGGATGGGATGCTTTGCCCAGGGAGATCGCTCTAAGCAGTTTCCGATAGCGGGCATAAAGTTTTAAGGTCGGGAGACCATTTGTACGTGCTGTTTTTTTAATGGGTCTGGGAGAATAGAAAGTCTGCTGCCGTCGATGGGGTCGTGTAGAGGGTTCGTTGGTGTTGGTGGTGGATTGTGGATGTTTGTATTAAGCAGACTCACGCAAATTTTTAATAAATATAAATTTAGTTGAAAATTTAACAGGACATTCTTGAAAATTTCAAGTTTCGATTGCTATCAAAAAATCGCAAGGTCAACGATAAAATTATTGAAAAAGAGACGTTATAAGTATGTTTTTTTAACACGAGCCTTATGGAACTGTAGTTGATACTGATTGTGAGAAGTGAATCACTTCTGATTTAGTTACAAAAAAAAACAGTTGCTTAAAAAATTAGGTGGTTATAGATTTTTTTACGGAGATTATGATGGCACGGGAAAAGATGTGTTAACGATCAAATAACAGTGAAAATTAAGATCAAAGTATGCAAACGTAGGTTCGAATGCGTTTGGTAGTATCTTGTACGCATGTGTGCTATGAGCGTCAACGTCACTTGTTTTCCTTTGGTTTGTTCGACGAACAACCGTTTCATTTTTTTCATTTCTTTCTTAAAAATGAAAAAAAAATTGTTGTCATGATCCACTTATTTGTAATTTTTTTTCCATTTGAGTGTTTTGAAGTAGTAGAAAATATTAATTATTCAAATTAAACTGATAAAATTGATAAAAAGTATAAAGTGCTGTATGAAGCCCCAGCTAGATACGACACCAAACGCGTGAGCTATCTGAAGTGACATTTTTGACCACTTTTTGCACCTTTGTGATCAGTACTACTCCTTTCATCTTTGAGAAGAAGAAGAAAATAAAGACGAAAGAGAAGACGTAGAAAGAAACTGTTGAGGGAAAAGTTGAATGGCACGACAATGTCCATTTTTAACGACTTGTGACGACGATGAATAGAACGATACGCCCGAAAGATGTAAATACACTTTTTTTAATGGAATTACATATTTTGTTACTCGTTTCAATTCATCGGAACATTCTGCGTGAAAAAGTATTAGAATACAATGTTTAAAAACCAAATATTTTGTAAGATATCTTACAAGTCGAATGTTGTTTATTGCTGACCTGCCTTACGTTCGCAAGTGTTTACAACGAATATGTGAAATATCTTCCACGAAACGTACGATATTTCAAAAATGTGACGATAAGGTAAGGTATCGTTAGCTTGTCATTCTAAATTTGTTATTACGGTGTGAAAATATCAATTTGCCTATAAAGCGTAAACGTAGAGTTTTAGTACCACAGAGAAACCGAGGGACAATAAATCGACTGGAAAATAATGAAATTATAACTAAAATACCATCCAATTATAGGGTTAAAAATCAATATATTGTGATATAAAGGAGAGAAAATATGAAATTATTAACGAGAACGACCATCATTTCCTCAAAAAGGAACATGATACCTACTTCCTAACAGGAAAACATCAATAAAGTAAAATATAAAAGCAAATCTGCCTAAAAATATTAATTTTCAAGGAAGTATGATAATAGCAACAATTGGGAAAATACATGTATAGATAGATGAGAAGGACGTCTAAAATATAATCGTGTAAGGTAACCCAAGAACTTTAAGTAATCGATGTTCTGTTACGTTAAGTCTTCAGACCCTTAACTATTTTTACTACGAAGAAGCAGTTTCTGCTCCAGTTATCGGGATAATCTCGGAAGTTATTTACTCTATAAAGATGACGATAAGAGGGTAGATAGCTCTCATTTCAACTATTTAAGAAGCAACCTGTTACTCTATTATTTTGCACCTATAGGACTAAAATAGGACTCGACCATTCTCCATCTTGAGCCACACATACAGTCCGTCACACAATAACCTACTGTCTGTATCCCCAAAAGATGATACATAAATCAGAGGAACTATAATAACCTTCCCTAATCAACATTTATTTAGAGGTTCTCATTTTCATTCCTGTTACCAAGAAACATTAATCTTCTGTAGATAAATGTCGCGCTCTATAGTTCGTTTTTTGACTCGCTGAGGCCGCAGTATGCGAGCTTCCCTCTTCAAGTCTCGTAGAGTGAATTACCAAGTCACGACGGCTGTGAAAATACGCTTTCCACAGTCTTCTTCTACTATGTATAAGTAACAAAAAACTGACTTTCTTTTTCCCACTGACTAGTCCAAGAACGCTGAGAACTTTCTTACAGAACACATAATTTCCATCGAGACATGTCACTGACTATATCTACAGAACGTCTTTCCACTGAACCTACCCAGAACCCTCACAGAAAGTATAAAAAAAATGAAAGTATCCCGGCGTGAAATCGCAAATTCACGAGCGGAAGGGAGAACCGGGATCGGATTCCCCGTTCTTACGTCACGCTCTTC